TGCTGGTGGGTTTGAACTGCCAGCCTTCTGGTTAGCAGTCAAGTGCCTTAGCCACTATGCTACCAGAGCTCCCAAATACTATGTGACCACTGCTAATAATGTTTAATTTCCCAATTTTGTCAACATTCCTTCGTTCCTTGGTTTCTGAGATTCCTGACCACCCTCATTCTCCCAAAAGAGGCTATGTAGTCAGATGAATCTTGGTTCAAATTCTGCCTCTGCTACTTTAGCCTGAGTTTTGGGACAAGTTTCCTAACTTTCTGAACCTGAGTTTCCTCCTCTGTGTAATCAGACTTTAAGACTGAAAGTGGCTGTTAGCACTTAGTGTGTAATGACATCACCTGCTGTAGTTCTTGATAGGCAGGCAGGCTGAGAGAGCCCTCCCTCTGCTGCTCATCTCCTGTCCAGGCCTCTGACTGTTCACATCAGTCTCTTTTGCTTATCAGTGTCCCTGTTTCCCAACCTCTACCTTCAGGCTCTCTTTATCTTTCTTCCTTAGTGATTACAGTTTTCATGTCTTCCACTCTGACTTCCTTGTAAATGAAGCTTGCTTTCTCTAGTCCCACCTCTCACCAGCAGCTCTTGTATATCATCTCTGACATACTCCACCTGTGTTCCTCCTTCTGAAACCAAACCCACTGCCATTGAGTCACTCCTGACTCATAGCATCCTTATAGGACAGAGTAGAACTAACTGCCCTAGAGGATTTCCAAGGCTGTAAATATTTTTTTCTTTTTTAATTGTAGTTTAGGTGCAAATTTACAAAGCAGATTTGTTTTACTGTCAACGGTTCATGCACATTTGACATTTGATTTCATGGCCCCTATTATAATCCCCAACCATAAAAAAATGTCCTTCTCTCTCCTCCCTGTGACTACTCCTTCTTATCTATGCATTCCTATCTGTCCAGCTTTCCCTCTATGTAAATGCTGCCCTTTAATGTCTCATGGCTGATTGATCTAAGGGGTGCATCTCCTTAGGGTAGGTGGGTGCATCTCCCTGGGGTAGGTGTTCTGCTTGTAGGTCTTTCTACTGTTGGGTTGAGAACCAATCCATGGAAGTGAATCCATTTCTAGGCCCAAAGGATAGCCTGGGGCCATAGTCTCAGGGGTTCTACCAGTCTCTTTCCAACCACAAGGTTTAAATGTTTATGGAAGCAGACTGCCACATCTTTCTCTGGGAAGCAGCTGGTGGATTCAAACCACTGACCTTTGAGTTAGTAGCAGCTTTAACGAGCGCACCACCAATACTCCCTGGTGTCCCTCCTTCAGGATTTCCAAAACAGATAGGAACTATGGCTCCAGGGATGACAAGAATATGAACTCAGCTCCACTGTTAGACTGACTCTGCCTCAGATGGTCACCCTTCATTACCAGCTGATGACCTACCTTTGTGGTTCCTCTTCTTCATTGAGAAAATGCAAATTGTCTCACACCAGTCTTGTAGGATTGTTGAGGTTTAGGTAAAAACAAAGATGGCAAGATCCCTAACTCACTCTGGCTTGTGGTAAGTGCCCTGTATTTAAGATAACATATGACTATCGCTATATATAGGAGCTCTGGTAGCATAGTGCCTAAGGCACTTGACTGCTAACCAGAAGGCTGGTGGTTCAAATCCACCAGCCACTCCTCGGAAGGAAGATGAGGCAATCTACTTCCATAGTGATACTGCCTTGGAAACCCAAGGAGGGGTTGCTATGAGTGGGGTCCAACTCGACGGCACATAACACACACACACACATATCGCTGTATATAACAGTTACTGTTATTAGCCCAAGATCATACTTGGGAAGTGTTATATCCCATGGTCATGGCTGGTGGGCATGCTCAGACAGGGAACCTGAGCAGCATTGACAGAGGGGACTACCTCCAGAGGTGTGGCAGGGCTAAGGGAATGAAAGACTAGCACCAGCCAGAAGCTATTTCACCCCAGACATTAAGGGCAGGGAAGGGAGCGGTTAGAGTTGTGGGGCTGAAGCTGTGGGAGAGGTGTTACCACCAGGATCATCAGAAGAGGTGCCCAACAAGTACCAGCCCAGAGCCAGGCAGAAGATGCCAGATGCATACATTCCTCAGCACCACACCCATCTCCCACTGGTGCCTCCTCTTTGCCAAACCAACCAGAAGCCAGAGGGCAGGGAGAGCTCAGGGGTGCAGTACGTAGAGGTTGGCTTCCAGGGCTCAGAGGAGTGTGGGAAAGGGTGAGGGCTACCTGGAAGTCACACAGAGATGACCCAGTACACTCATCCGCTTGTGGCACATCATGGACTTGAGCCCGGATCCTTCTACTCCAAAGCCCATGCCCTTTCCATTATCCTATGCTGTGCTTCTCTGTATTGCTCCCCTAAACCCAGTTCTAAGATCCTCTCCTCTGGGCGGCCCCACCTGATCAGCAATGCCTGAGCCTGCCTTCTATTTGGAACCCTCTGCCATATGCTGGCACAGGTGCAAACACATTTGTCTCCCTTCAAAAGGACAATTTGTAAGGGCAGGGACCATGCATCTGATCCATGCTTCTTGGAATTTAACTCAGGACAGCTGCTCAACAAATGTGGTCAGATGGGTTTGTTTTCCAGCTGCTTTGTTCCAACTGTTGGAGTTTGGAAGCCACATAGGCAGTTTCTAATGTATTTTGCTCTGAAAGCACCTCTGCCTGGCTCAAAGGCATGAGAGAGAGATCTGCCATGAGCTGCAGGCCCCATTAGGCATTAGCAGGGGCAGAGAGACAAAGCAAGGTGGTTAGAGTCAGAAGGTAACCTTTCTCCTCCAAAGCCAAGAAAGGCAGGCCTGGGATACATGCTCTTTCATGGGAACATTAACTTCTGCTCTGGTATTACAGGACTGCAGAGAACCCAGAATCCATCATCCTCATCCCATTGGAACAGACACCAGACTGCCTCATGAGTACTTGTGTACCACATCCAAAAACCCTACTGAGGTGTTAAGAGCATTGTTTGAGCATCTGTTGGGGGTCAGACCCCTTACTCTGCTCCACATGTTCTCCCGGAATCCTTATGGCCAGTTCAGAGGGCAGCAATGTTACTTCCATTTGACAGAGAATACAGCTCAGAAGCATTGCAAAGTTCTGAAACCAGAAAGTGGTGGTGGTGAAGCTCAAGCCCCTGCCTGATTCCATACCTGCCATTTAATCTATTAAAGCAACTCCTGGCCACTTTAGAGCTGACCTTTCCAAAGGACTGTTTCTTTAGCCTTTCTGTGGCAGTTGTTGCTGAGATCCTTCCCCAATAACTCTTTCTAGGGCCTGCAGCTCCTCAGGAAGCTTGTCTTTGGTCTGAGACAACTCAGGCATTGCAGGGTGGGTCCTGCCCTCTGCTGCCCTAGGAATTGGCACCTTCCAGCAGCACTGACTGTGGAGCCAAGGCAGATGCTATTCAGGATGGGCCCTGGATCCTAAAAACCAAAAGCTAAACCAAAACCAAACTCACTGCCATTGACTCAATTCCAACTCATAGCAACCCTTACTGGGTTTCCGAGGCAGTAAATCTTTATGGAAGTAGATCACACCATCTTCCTTCCATGGAGTGACTGGTGGGTTTGAACCACCAGCCTTCTGATTAGCAGTCAATTGCCTTAGGTACTGTACCACCAGAGCACCTAAATCTTTAAGAGCAGATGCTTCACCTGGCACTTGCTAGCTTGCAGATTCTGGTTAGGTACATCTGGGGTGTGGAGTGAATGGACTATTTTCTATATGTAGATCTATAAGCACTTTATATGTATTAATAATTTTAATTAAGATGATGCCTATACACATTGCACTATAAAGGGGTCCATATGTGTACCCATTCCAAAAAAAAGGTGATCCAACAGGATGTGGAAATTACTGAACAATATCATTAATATCACAAGCAAGTAAAATTTTGCTGAAGATAATTCAAAAATGGTTGCAGCAGTATCTTGCCAGAGAGCTTCCAGAAATGCAAGCTTGATTCAGAAGAGAATGTGGAATAAGAGATATCATTGCTGATGTCAGATGTATCTTGGCTCAAAGCAAAGAATACAGAAATATGTTTACTTGTGTTTTATTGACTGTGCAAAAGATTCAGTTACGTGGATCATA